AAGGGTTTTAAAATGGAAAAATATGATGATGGCGGTACTGCAATCAGCTGTTTAGTGGTCGAATACTTTCTTGAGAAGATGTTTGTTCCGTGTTCTTTCTGTGGGTCCTATTCCGAATCATTTTGCCTTTATCATGATGGAATCGAAGGTATGCTAAGAAGTGGAATCTGGAAGAAGGGCTGGCCATAGAGCTGGGTATTCATCTCTCATGTCTTTACTCAAGTATGCATGAAAGGGGTGAAATATGTGACAATCTATGCCTTTAGCATTGAAAAATTTAAAAGAAAACTGATGAGGTTCATGACTGATGGATCTAATGCTGGAGAAGATGCAGGCAATGCTCAAGGAAGAAATATTGTGAACCGGTATGGCATTAGAGTGCATTTATAGGTAAGTTAAAATTTGAGTGAGCCTTTCAGGGTTGCAGCAGGAAGGTGATGAGGACTACTGAAAAGAACAGCAAGGTGGTGCTTTTAGTCTGTGTAGCATATACTTCAGGTGATGAGATAGTGCATGCAGTTCAAGAGTCTTGTAAGCATAAAGGGATGAAATTGAAGCTTTGAATGAACGTAAAACTTCTAATCTCGTTCCTAATGGTGTGGAATCCTACAAAGATAGATTGGATGGATCTCAAAACTCCGAAGGCAACTGGAGCTTGCAATGGTGTGATTGAAGGAATTGATGGCACTAATAAGATTAATGTTGCAATGATTGACTGGTGAAAAATTATGTGAGTCAAGATGAAGTCAAGCATCGAAGGTTAGAATGGCAATGGTTTGGTTGATGAAATTGAAGAGAGAGAGAAGATGCAAGGCAGCATTGTGTAATAAATCGGTAGATATCGAGAAGACACAGTACCTGGCTGTAGCTCCTGATCCTGACATCCTTTTGCGAAGTTCTGGTGAGGCCCGACTGAGCAATTTCTTTCTGGCAAACCAGTAATTGCCTACTGTATTCTCCAGCTGCATGTGGCCGGAGATTGGTTTGTCACACTTGGTGGGGGAGTGCTAAACTTCCAAAGAAACCAGCATACTTAGAGAAGAAGAAAAAGCAATCATAACAATTTTTACACCGCAAAAAGAATAATTTCTCTAATAGATTATGGCAAGGTGTGCATGGGTGACAGTATTATTTCTATTTCAACTGGAAGCCTAGTACCTGTAGTGTTGGAATGCACTTCCAGAGTTACAGTGTCTTCGCACTTCATGTCGGGCAATAAAATTTTGGTGGCTTATTATATACTGGCATAAGCTCCTATGTAGGAATCAGGTCAGATCAAGTAATTATATGAAAATACATTTATCTGTAGATTTTAAATTATGAGAAAAAATATAAGATAAAGCAGTTGGATTAAGCATGCCTATTTTCTCACGTAGAAGTTTGCAGTTTGTTGCTTAGAGTGTCTGCTATTGTAATTATTTTTGAAAATTTATAGAATACTTTTCGAGTTCTACTCCTTTTGTATCAAAATCCAGTTTGTAATTTTGTATGCTTAGAGTTCTACTATTGCAGTTGTTTTTGAAAATTTAGAATACTTTTCTGAGTTTCACTCCTTTGTATCAAATGTTGTGCCACTTTACCACTAAGCTTTAAAGGTGTTGATACAAAAATCTACACCAACTAGAATTTTGATTGACTCTGTTGGAATTGAAATAGGTGCGCGTGATATAGATAAACTCACGCGGATGAATATAAATGCAATAAGTAAATGACGGAGAAATTTTTAAATGGTTCGATAAATTAGAACTTGAGTCTACGTCCACTGTTATCTTATTGTTTTTGAGATCTTACAAAGAACAGTATAATTGTAGGAAAATTTTCTTAGAACAATTGCTCAGTCCCCTGAAAACAAGTAATGATGGGTTTAAAAGCACTTATTTACATGATAGAGTTGAGATAAGATTCAAATACGTAAGATTAGAAAGTTGCATGATCTTCGGCTACCTTAGTTGGAATCTAAGTCAATCTAAATATCTTCTTCCAAATTGAGCCAACTAAATACTTTTCTCCTTTAGGGAATTTTCCTTTCCGGATTGACCGCACAACAATAGCCCCTCAGTTTTTTGAGTGCATAATCGCGCTTCAAAATCAGTCTTTGATTGGATGGTTGTCGCACTATAGGTTGCAGTCTCAAACTGAAGAACTTGAATTATGCTTGTGCGATCTAGGAGATCTAAGAGATCTTGAACATGTGATCTCAAGCGAATGAGTGAGCTATGAGATAATCAGAGAGCATAAAGAGCTTGATATGAGAGCATAGGGAGCTCGATCAGAGGCATAAGGAGCTCGATCGAGAGTGTAAGGAGGTCGATTAGAAAACACAGAGAGCTTGATCTGAGAGTATAGCTCGATCAAAAAGTATTGAGAGCTTAATTTGAGAGCATAGCTCGATCAGAAAGCATGGAGAACTTGATCTGAGAGCATAGCTTGATCAGAAAACATGGAGAACTTAATCTGAGAGCATAACTCGATTAGAAAGCATAACTCAATCAGAAATCATAGAGTGTTTGATTGAGATCATTGCTCGATCAGAAAGCATGGAGGGCTTGATCTGAGAGCATAGTCGATCAGAAAGCATGAAGAGCTTGATTGAGAGCATTGCTCGATCAGAAAGCTTGGAGAGTTGATCTGAGAGCATAGCTCGATCAAAAAGCATGGAGAGCTTGATCTGATCGAGCAAAGAGCATTGCTCGATCAGAAAGTATGGAGAGCGATCTGAGAGTATTGTTCAATCAGAAAGCAGGAGAGCTTGATTGGAGCATGGTTCGATCAAAAGCATGTAGAGCTTGATCTGAGGGCATTGCTCGATTAGAAGCACAGAGAGCTTGATTGAGAGCATGGCTCGATCCAAAAGCTTGGAAAGCTTGATCTGAGAGCATGACTCGATAAAAAGGCATGGAGAGTTAATCTGAGAGCATGCTCAATCAGAAAGTATTAAAAGCTTGATCTGAGAGCATGCTCAACAGAAAGCTTGGAGAGCTTGATCTGAAAGCATGGCTCAACCAGAAAGCATGAGAGCTTGATTGGAGAGCATGGCTTGTTAGAAACATGGAAAGCTTGATCTGAGAGCATGACTCGATCAGAAAGCATGAAGAGCTTGATCGGAACGCCATTGCGCGATCAGAAAGCATGGAGAGTTTGATCTGAGAGCATGGCTCGATAAGAAAGCATGGAGAGCTTGATCTGAGAGCATGACTCGATCAGAAAGCCTGTAGAGTTTGATCTGAGAGCATTGCTTGATTAGAAAACCTGTAGAGCTTGATCTGAGAGCATCGCTCGATCTGAAAGGATTGAGAGCTTGATCTAAGAGTATTACTCGATCAGAAAGCATGAAGAGTTTGATTTGAGAGTATTGTTCGATCAGAAAGCATGGGGAGCTTGATCTGAGAGCATAGCTCGATCAGAAAGCATGAAGAGCTTGATCTGAGAGCATTGTTCGATCACAAAGCTTAGAGAGCTTGATCTGAGAGCATAACTTGATCAGAAAGCATAAAGAGTTTGATCTGAGAGCAAAGCATGGAGAGCTTGATCTGAGAGCATTGCTCAATCAGAAAGCTTGGAGAGCTTGAGAGCTAGAGAGTTAGAGAGCTAGTGAGCTCTTTCTAATCTGAGAGATTTGAGCACGCAATCTGAGCGATCTGACCACGTGATCTGAAGCTGAAGATTAGAGTGATCTAAGCGTGCAATCTGAGCGATCTGGCCATGTGATCTGAGAACTCTGATTTGAAACATGCTTCAGTATTTTGACGATAACTTGAGCTGTAGACCTCATATTTGGATGATTCGTAGACCGTCGGAAAGCTAACTCGAAGGGCTACAATTCTTGTGTTTACCACTTAGCTAGATTCAGACTTTATCTTACTCAAATTTTCACATTTGATGACGTGATTCTAGATTAAAAAGCTGGGATTTGTTGAAGAAGTTGACACTTGAGGGAAAAACATGGAGAGCTACTATATCAGGTCCTCCTTTTAGCGTCAAAATGTTGATATAGAAATCTACACCAACCAAAGAGATGCGATTGACCATGTCGGAATCGGAATGAATGTGCACGTGATTACGAATAACCAGCAATGGATGAATAATAAATGCAATAAAGTAAATGGCAGAGAAATTTTTAAAGTGGTTCGGCAAGTTAGAACTTGAGCCTACGTCCACTTTTATCTTATTGTTTTTGAGAGCTTACAAAGAACAGTATAATTCTTAGAAAAATTTGCTTAGAACAATTGCCCAGTCCCCTTGAAAACAAGTTATGATGGGTTTATATAACACTCATTTACATGATAGAGTTGAGATATAATTCAAATACGTAAGATTAGGAAGTTGCATGATCTTCGACTACCTTAGTTGGAATCTAAGTTAATCTAAATATCTTCATTCCAAATTAAGCTAATCTAAATATCTTCTCTCCTAATAGAGAATTATCCTCTCCGGATTGACCACACAACAAAAGGCATATTAGTATGTGTATACTTCCTCAGTTCCTCTTATCTAGGAAATTGTAAAGTCTTTACTGGTTCAAAAAAATTGTGCTGATTTACAAGGAATTTTTTTTTCTTGTGATTGAGATGTCTAGACTAACTTATGCACATCTTAACTAATCCTCTGAGATCCTAAAATTGACAATCGGGTAAATCCCCTCAACAGTCACCCATATTAACAACCCCAATGAATAGAACTCAAAACTTCTTAAATAATACACCTAAGAGTCATAGGTGACCACTAAGCCATCCAATGGTGGTTTACAAGGGAATATTTGATGTATACTATATATAATTGGGTTTAATATAATTTTCCCTAGAGTTGCATGAATAAATTTCCCCTCCTCTGTGTTTCATGAAAGTTTATTTTCCTCTCATTCGCGCGTATTGCCTTACACATATTACCGTTCTTCGTGAAGTTGAAGTTGATCATTGGAACCCCAATGTAACACTTCAACAAAACAACAATGACAAAATTCTAGTTACAACATTGCTAATAAAGACTTCCACAGGAAGATCGACTCTTACAAAGAAAAGCATTTCCATATCATCAAATGAAATATTATCGAACTTCTATGTGAGACTAATAAAGAATGGACTACAAAAATTTGGAATCAAAGAAATAAATAATAATCAGCCAGTTGATAGCTTCACAATGGAAGTGGGAAAAGAAAAAAGAGTTAATAAAAAATGTGTATAAAAAAAATAATACACAATCAGCTTCTGGGCTTGTGCAGACGAGGCCGATTGCAAAATATCCTACCATTAGCCCTCACAAATGCTGCAAGAGCAACACTTATCCCTGCCCACATAAGTGAAAAAAATAGATGCCGAAAATCGTATTTAACTGCAAAGAAAAAATAGGAAGTGTCAGATTTCTGGAATTGCATTTATTCGGTTACCGTAAGTTGCTATATTCTATAATGAACAAGCACAAACTTTTTAACTCACCTTGCCTCAGTGACAAGGTTGCAAAAAATAACCCAGTCACGACCAACGATAGAGCCAATGGAAATGACTGTAAAAGGAGATGACATAAAGTTTCAGATAGAGAACAAAATTTGCAAGTGAATAATCTTAAGATGTATTAAAATTTTGTTTAACAAGTTAAACTTGTGTACTCACAGCTATAGCCTCAAGGCCTCCTTTTTGGGATGGAGGGGCCACCTCTCGACTCACCGATACGATGTAGTGTCCTTGCAGGAGATCAATCGCATCCTTTAAATAAGTGCCAAGTACATAAAACAAAAATCAGAATTGTTATTAGATATATGTGGATGATGAACTCTTTACAAAGAAGTGAAAGCATGTATTCTTTAGAAAGCCTAAAAAAGAAATTGCAAGAAACATTGATTAGGTCCTCCAGAAAATTTAAAGAATCTATTATAATGAACACTCATGTGAATTGTGAACAAGACCCTTAAAGAATAATAAAATTCTACGCAAACAGGAAGACCTATAAACCATAAAAATAGAAAAATAAACAAAATTTATAGTACATGAGTGATCTTAACTTGTGCCTTTGACCACATTAATATAATGAAAGTTGTGTTTATTTGTCGCTAAAAAGAAATAATATTAATATAAAGAAATATTTTGTTTTTCAGAGCCCTAAAAAAGATGCTAATAAACCACAGTATAAAGTTCTGTTAGAAGAGACCAATATAAAGTTCTGTTAGAAGAGACGATTTTACAAGGTAACATTTGGGAAATTTTGTTGCTTCTGAAATGTTAAAGGTTCTCTACCATTTCTCAGTCATTATAAGTATCTACAACATTAATGAAGATATGAGCATACAAACCTGTTTTGTTCCATCACAGAAGTTATTCAAATAATAGCGTGAAAGGGCATTCCATCCATCTTTGACAATCCCTTGCATTGTCCGTCTGCCACATCTATAATCCAACCATAAAAAAATTAATAGGACGTTAAAATTTAGTTTTCACACTATAAATCAATGCCTTCCCTTGTATCACATAAAATACAGCCATCAAAGTATTTAGCAGTTACTTAAATCGCTGATAAATCAATCCATAAAAATATATGTTTCTCAAATTGGGTCAAATATTCCTTAAAAGCTCTTACTAGTCCACTGTACAATATCAGGCTTCGCAGCCTAAAAATATGTATAAAATATTAATAAAATTGCAAGGTTACTGGAATCCAGACAGCAGTAAACAACTAAAAGAGGAAGCAACAGGTGCTTCAAGGGAAAATATTGTTTGGGCAGGCTTTACTACTTTTCTTTGCATCGATTTCAAATTTTGTTCAGAATGAAAAACTTTGCCATGGAGAAATCTGCTTTTGAAGTAAGGCTAAAAAATTTCATACATGCACTAGCACAGAGACACTGATACTCAATATAAAAAGTCAGGACGCTTCAAATAAATGCCATCTCAAAAACTATTCAGAAAGCTTTTTACCCATGTTCTTGAACCAAGGTAACATTTTCTATTATAAGGAGGCAGATAAATCAAATTAAGGAAAAGTACCTGACAAAATCTCCTTTTAGAGCAGGAGTACCAGAATATTGGATGCTAATGTCATCCCCATGATTAGCCCACACTAAAGATAAACAGTTAAAAAACAAATATCAAAATCTAGGAAAACCATGTCAATAGCACTAGGAAACACAAAAGAAAAATAGAACGACCACCAATAGCATGGCAGGTAAACAAAATATCTTTACTGAAAGCGACTAATTTGAATAAAATAAATGAATATACTGACATATTTTATAGCTTTCATCAAAATTTGGATGTGAGGTAATGGTTTCTTCAGCACCAAAAATGCCAATCCTTCTAAGTTGGATTTCCAGCATTCTTCGAGCTATCATGCTCTGCAGCCATAACTTAGAGCAGTTATCAAAATGAAAGAGGCATAAAACTATATGACAAAAGCAATCACATGACAGCAAGCAAAGTGCCCTAAAACTGTAAGACAAAAGCAATCACATGAAAGCTTCTGTCTAACACATGCCTGCATGTTTGGTACAACAACACATATAATAGAAGAATTACATGCTATAAGACTAATGATTATCATAAAGAGAATAAGATATGTATCTGAAGTTAGCCTACCTGGGTAACATTGGTACGATCTAAACAATCAATACAGTTTGTTCTCACAACTCCAAGTTGCTCCTTCATTTTTTCACCCTTCTCATTCAACAAAAGATACCTAAAAAATTTATACAATGTCAAAAAGCAACACAAATATCCACTAGCAAATTACTCTTATTCAAGTACAATCATCAAATTGTGTTTGAAATCCATGATGATTAGATGAAAATCCTTACCCATTTTTCTCAAGGAAATCCTCAATTTTCTCATAAAGGATAGAGAGGCGCTCAAAGTGAACGTGTCCACAGACTTGGTGAAAATCAAAGTGCAGATATCTACAATGATAGAACATCTTTGCATTAAATGGAATAAATTTTTTGTTAAGACAAAAAAGACAAAAATAAAGGATTAGTGAAGGAAACCCTACCTTACATCATCACTTATGACATGCTGCATTGCATTTGCAAATTTTTCACATAAGCGTCCCTCTCCCCCATGCTGATAAGAAATAAAGGGGCAAAATAATGAATAGCAGAATATAGAATAGCAAATCCATACTTCCACACATCGCTGCAGACACCCACATCCACATCCACATCCATTCACATGCAACATATTCATGTGTGTGGGCAGCACAGAGCATATTTACCATAAGCTTTTAGCAAGATATCTAATCACGAGTTAAAAGCTCATCAAGCAATTAGGTTTCTGACTATCATCAGGTAGTAAATATACTTAAAAATCACATAATCCACCAAAAATAATTACATTAAGAAAAGAATATGCACCTTGTTAATCAGGTCAAAAGCTAACACACTTCCATATTTTTTTCTTAAATCAAGAAAATGTCGTTCCACCACTCGAGGCTGCAAAATATGCAGTAAATCAATAGTCATTTATAAGGTGGAGAAGGTTTTAGCATATAATAAAATAAATCCGTGAAGGAAATTTCTACTGTGCTGGAAAGGTATGATAATAGGGAAGGTGTGACTAGTGAATGAGGATTCATTTATCCTCATCCAAAACTTGGCATCCTTATCCAACGATCTCAGTTCCCCTAATATGATACCTTCCCACTATGGTAGTATGACTCTGCCATGCAATGAACTAGTAAGTACTCACAGCTTCCTCCGGTCTCACGATCTCAAATTTAGGCTTATATGTCAAATCAACAATTTGCTCCCAAAGAAGAGGTATTGACCCCCGAACCTGCAGAATCCAATAAAAAATTATTATTATTATGAGACAATTAAGATGTAAATACATAAGAGAATATAATTCACAATCAAAGCGACTAAAACGTTTTTTACTGGTAATTGTCAAAATTTCATAATCAACAATCTCAAAACATGAGTACCAAGCTTCACACTTATTCTGGATTGTCATGTACTTATATGCAGTTTTTCCAGGTCATTTAGCTTCCTTCAAGCACTAGCATTCAATTTCCGCAAAATAGAAGGAAACCCTATTTATGCAGTAAGTGCAAAACTTTTGTGAGTATAAATTTATGAATTTCTGTGATAGAATTAACTATTATAGCTACATCAATCAATTATAGGGTGATGATGACAGAGGGTAACTTCACTCTGACACAATATAGGAGATCTACAGTCCAATACCTGAACCTGGTTCAAAATAATTAATGGAAAATATGTTTGGCATATCTAAATTCTTTAATTACTTTCTCCTTTTTGAGTTTAAAGCTGGTTATTCATGTATAGTACTTTTGCCAAGAAATGATGCTGTAAATCCCTTCATTTTGTAAATAAATAAGTACATCAAACATTACCTGAACAAATGAAGCAGTGAACCCATTCATTTGTACAATTTGTTCAGTTTCCACAAAATTTGCTACATACCCATCAGAATCACTTCCTCTTCTCCACATCCGAGTTCCTATTAAGCATGAACATTAAACTATGTTGGTATGACAAAGGAAGCACAACACGAGGCACTAAAGTGAAACAAACTCCGAACACTCAAATAACAACTGATTTGCCAACAAGGCAACATAAGGCTAGATATATACAATTAGTTAATTCCTCCACCAGAAAACAAGTTATTGAACTAAAATACATAACAATCGAAGATATAGTAAAGCTTTCAGTACCATTTCTCCTAGTGCATCTCCTTGCAATCAGAGTAACATCAACGATGTCCCTTCCAATGGCGGTCTGGAAGTTATGAAAGCTTGAAAATCAGTTAAGGAAACACTTCAAACAGAAAGACAATTAGAGGGGTAATAAAATTAAATCAGCCATGAAATAGACAAACTCAAAATGTCCACATGTCACAACAACAAAAAGCTAAAGTTAATGATGTGATAAAGGATATTCCCTTGGATTATAGGAAGTAAGAATGGATCAAGCTGCACATGAGACCAAAAGAACCATCAGCAGTGAGTGACATAAAATTGTAGAAGGAATGAAAGTGATGAAACATGTAACATTTAAAAACAAGTTAGGCAAAATCTGACCTTGTTATCTATGAGCACTTCCAACATATAGTTGTTCCAGAGAAATCTGGGTTCCGCCTGCCACAAACAATTGCAACTTCAGCAAAGTTTCTTGTTTATTGCATTGTAACAATAAAAGTAAACATTGAAAAAACTTTAAAGTGCTAAACATGAAGATTTAAAACAATTATTCATACATAGTGAAAGTGGAACCAATGCAAAAAAGGATAATTTCACTTTATAAGCATGACTATCATTTAAAAGATTACCTGTCTCCACAAAGGAAGCAATTTAGATTCGTCACCCAAGTCATTCAATCGCTGTGCACTGCAACATACCATAACTATACAATTATGATTCTAAATTGAGCCATGAATTTAAAGTTTAATAGTGAAAAAGAGAGAAGCAAAAGCTAATTAGTTACAAAAAAATAAATCACAATTGATGATATGTCACTACTCAGTAGTAACCTATTCCTCAAAACAAAACTACCAGCACTAAAAACTTCAAAAGAAGTAATAATTATCACTTTTCATTAAGTTGTACAACAATAAATAAGAAAATGGATAAATGCCATTTACGGAAAAACAATTCACCTCAGTGTTAAATTGGTGTCATATGAGAAATACAGACCACATGTCCTCTCAGCAACTTTAAGGAGCCGAGAAAACTCAGTCTCCACTTTTTTCTGCCAAATCAGCACAACAATTTTAGGTTCGCAATTAACTAACACTCTTAAATGCGAAAATAAATCATAAAGATTAATCAGTAGCGTCACATTCACCTGTTCTGCTGATGAATTATTCAGAGAATGATCACAGGGAAGAATGTTTAAAGATGCAACTTTGTACATAGGATGTCCCAAGTACGATCCCACACATTCACGCTCCGTTATTACTATCAAATACGAACCTAATTATACAATCAAAATGGATTAGCACATCAAGTTTCCTTCTCAATTTTCTTCTCTTCCCATTTCAGTAACGTTACTGAGAATTTTTTTTTTTTTAGAAAAAAAAATACCATTTCAATATCCTATATTGAAACAAAACATTCGGTTCCTTAAATAAAAACAAACAATTTCTGGAAACGTTACTTTGATTCTGAAAATTAATTCTCCTCACAAATCACGAATCGGTATAAATTTACCTGCCACGAGCTTTAACATTCCGGCGATNTATTCATACATAGTGAAAGAGGAACCAATGTAAAAAAGGATAATTTCAGTTTATAAGCATGACTATCATTTAAAAGATTACCTGTCTCCACAAAGGAAGCAATTTAGATTCGTCCCCCAAGTCATTCAATCGCTGTGCACTGCAACATACCATAACTATACAATTATGATTCTAAATTGAGCCATGAATTTAAAGTTTAATAGTGAAAAAGAGAGAAGCAAAAGCTAATTAGTTACAAAAAAATAAATCACAATTGATGATATGTCACTACTCAGTAGTAACCTATTCCTCAAAACAAAACTACCAGCACTAAAAACTTCAAAAGAAGTAATAGTTATCACTTTTCATTAAGTTGTACAACAATAAATAAGAAAATGGATAAATGCCATTTACGGAAAAACAATTCACCTCAGTGTTAAATTGGTGTCATACGAGAAATACAGACCACATGTCCTCTCAGCAACTTTAAGGAGCCGAGAAAACTCAGTCTCCACTTTTTTCTGCCAAGTCAGCACAACAATTTTAGGTTCGCAATTAACTAACACTCTTAAATGCGAAAATAAATCATAAAGATTAATCAGTAGCGTCACATTCACCTGTTCTGCTGATGAATTATTCAGAGAATGATCACAGGGAAGAATGTTTAAAGATGCAACTTTGTACATAGGATGTCCCAAGTACGATCCCACACATTCACGCTCCGTTATTACTATCAAATACGAACCTAATTATACAATCAAAATGGATTAGCACATCAAGTTTCCTTCTCAATTTTCTTCTCTTCCCATTTCAGTAACGTTACTGAGAATTTTTTTTTTTTTAGAAAAAAAAATACCATTTCAATATCCTATATTGAAACAAAACATTCGGTTCCTTAAATAAAAACAAACAATTTCTGGAAACGTTACTTTGATTCTGAAAATTAATTATCCTCACAAATCACGAATCGGTATAAATTTACCTGCCACGAGCTTTAACATTCCGGCGATGCCAAAAATAGAGCGAATTTTCGGAACACGAAGAGACGTGCATTCTGGAACTTCGTCGATCAGATTCATCGAACCATCGGCGCGATTAATCGCCAACGACGAACCACTGGAACCGTCGGTGGGCTCCACCACATATTGATCTGGAAATTCCCAAAGACGCATACGTGTATACAGCTTTTGACCTGACTCAGCTCGCTCCATCATTATTTCAAATCTAATTCTCTACAGCAAACATGTGAAAAAAAAAAAAATTCCGACATTCAATTACTATTTTCTCGGAAAAAAACAAATTCTAAGAGGCGCGAAGTTAACCAAACAAACAAATTCTAAGAGCGCCAAGTTAGATAGTTACCTGAAATACGAGATCTGAAGTGAAACTTTCGAGCGTCTGTGTTTGTGTTTGTTTGCGAGTGATTTTTTTTCAAAATGTAACGGGTTTTTTGGGCGGAATATTATTTAACCGATTCGCTAAAACTTTGCAGGGTCGACTTTGCCCGCGTCTCGGGTGTATACGTGGTAACCATTTATTGGCTGGCGTCAAACTGGTGTGGGCCCTAGCTTTTTGTTAGTTGGTCCCATTATTAATCATCACAAAGTTCATTAACTACAATGTTATTGATGTAATTTTGGTGTTCGAATATGAAAAAATATCAATTTAATGCCTATAAATTCAAATTCTATTGGACCCCATTAGTTTTTAGAGTTAACACTTTAGTCACCATAAATGTAACTCTTGTTAATTAGTATAGTATAGCATAAGCATAATATAGTACCATTTTTTTTCTCTTCAACTCAAACAAATCATGAATTTTTCTCGGACAATATTAAAGATCTCATAAATTAAACGTATAGTTAAGAGAAACTAAGTAATTCATATTTATTATGGTCCAATTATTATTAATGGTGAAAAAATATATATAGAATGTATAGTATATATAAGTTTGGAGGTGGTGCATTAATTAAAATGATGCATGGATGGCAATGTGTATATGAAAGAGTTGTAAAAGAATAAATAGTGTAGACAGCAAATCTCTGCTGTAAACACACAAAATGCATGCAATAATAATTAATTATACATTAGTGGTGGCCAACAAATTAACAACCCAACGTGTCTATATGAGTTATGACTATAAAGTGCGTTTGTATTGAATAAGATATTATCAAAATTAACATATATAAAAAGTTCCAATAAATACTACAGATTTATCTCATGCATGTGTAATAGAAGGGTGTGAAAAATTTTAGGGTCGAACCGGAATAGACGGGTAAACGAGGTTTTGATTCCAAATTTGGTAGAACCCACACTATGCGGGTCTAGTCCACCACTTCAAGAACAAGACCGAGATTTGGTAACCAGAC